GAAATGGCTGGAAGCAGCACATGTCTCTACTTTTACAGAACTCGTCAACCTGATGCTTGTTGAAGAATTCTTGAGACGTGTGCCGCCTCCTGTCCGCCTCTACTTAGCAGATAAAGAAGAAACCGACTACCTGAAGTGTGCTAAGTCGGCTGACACTTACAGCCTCATCCACCGGCTGACACCTGAACCATCCTCCAGTAAGAAGTCGTGGTACAGTTACGAGAAGGTGAGCCCCGATCAAGCTGGTTCACAACTGTACTGCAAGTATTGTAGACTCTATGGACATACCATAGACAAGTGTGGTAAGTCTCAATACAAGGGAACCACTGACCAACAACGACCCAAACCAACTCCTCCTAAGTCCGGTAAGCCTGTGATGAATGTTGGTGTTGATGTTAATGATCTTTCTCTTTTCAGTAACCACCTGTATACTGGAACTGTCTCTGCCAACGGTTCAAATCCGGAGGGACGTTTCAAATTGAAGATCTTGAGGGACACAGCGGCTCTACAATCGATCATCTTGAAGTCGGCTGTGCCCAACATAGTCTACACCGGGGAAACGGTCTTCATCACTGACCTCACTGCTACTACTCCATACCCTCTCGCCAGAGTCCACCTGGATTGTCCCTACGTGAACGGGGAAGTCCAAGTCGCCGTCAGGGAAAAGCCTTTTCCCATGCCTGGAGTGCAACTTCTCCTAGGCAACGACTTGGCAGAAGACCTGCAACCAACCAACCTGATCGTCATGGACAAACCCCAGGTGTGTAACTCTGTGCCAAGTAACCCTATTCTTGAGTATGTTCCAGCAGAGGTTCAAGAGAGTGAAGTTTCTCCTCCGGTTCTCGTGACCACCCGTGCACAAGCCGCACGTCCACAGCCAGCTGACTCTACTGCTACCGCTGTCCCTCAAGACCCTCAGAAACTACCCCCGCATCTGACCAAGTTGGAGTTCCGTAAGTTGCAGAGGGAAGATCTTACTTTAACACCATTGTTTTTCCAGGCTGAGACTCAACCCGACAGTATTCCTGGGTTCTTCCTAGAGAACGACTTGCTCTACCGCAGATATAGACCCAGTAAACTGAAGGAGGAGGACGATTGGGCCAACACCGAACAACTTGTGATTCCCACCAGCCTGCGGCCCACTATTCTACACCTGGCCCATGGAGCATTCTCCCACTACGGCTTCAACAAGACTTACCATGGGATTCGCCAAGACTACTACTGGCCAGGTATGGTAAATAACGTCAAACAGTACGTAAAACAGTGTCATACATGTCAGATGGCAGGCAAACCGAACGTCTCCATTCCCAGAGCACCACTGATTCCCATACAGGTGCCTGCGGAACCTTTCCACAGACTCATAATAGACTGTGTCGGTCCTTTACCTCGGACCAGTTCAGGTAACGCCTACATCCTAACCATCCTGTGTCCTACCACCAGATTTCCCATAGCAGTTCCAGTGAAGAACATCACGGCTGCTACGGTTATCAAACATCTATTGAAGATCTTCACTCAATACGGATTTCCCAGGGAGATTCAAAGTGACTGTGGCACCAACTTCACCAGTGATCTCTTCAAAAGGACACTGGAGGAGTTCAACATCAAACAGGTATTGTCCAGCCCCTATCATCCTGCTTCACAGGGTTCTCTTGAACGTAGTCATCAGACCATCAAAGCACTCTTGAAAAAGTTTTGTAGTGAAACCTCAAAGGATTGGGATAAGCAGATTGACCTAATAATGTGTATTTTCAGAAGTCTCCCCAATGAGTCCCTAGGAGTATCTCCTTATGAGATGCTCTACGGCCGTAAGTGCCGTACTCCCCTTAAGGCTTTCAAAGACTCTCTCAGAGATGCCACCTTCAGTGAGCATCAGAATGTGCCCCAGTTTCTTCAAAACCTTCAACACATTCTAGAGAGAGTCCACCGCTTTGCCCATGATAATCTATTGAAAGCCCAGGTGAGAATGAAGACTCATTACGACCAGACCAGCAAAGTAAGAAAATTCAAGCCGGGAGACTTCGTCCTTGCTTATTTCCCTATCCCAGGTTCACCTTTACAAAACAGATTTTCAGGACCCTACTGCGTCAAAGAGTGCAGGAATAATAATAATTATGTGATAGAGACTCCAGATAGGCGGCGGAAGACCCAGCTGTGCCACGTCAACCTCCTGAAGCAATATAATGGTACTCCTCCCACTGTCTTGACTAATTATTCCACATTCACAGAACCCTACATCCACAGTGAGACCTTCCCAGCTTCTTCTCCCGAAAGCACTGACAAGGAGTCGGCGCTTTCTAATTCCAAAATCCTTAATGATCTTCCCAAATGCTTTCAGGATAATAATCGTGCTCCTATGCCCTCTTCTAATTCCACTCTCACCTCGTCAGATAAGCCCTTCATCCTCCATGTCGACGCCAATGGTACCGACGTGGGTGGTGTCGTGATGCAGCAACGAGGCGAGAAGAATACACCTGTCAGCGACTACTGCTACAAGGATCTACGGAACAATTGGCAAGGAGCTACTCTTCCTCATCCTGAAGCTTCAGCACTTCACTCCACACCTGAAAAGTGCTCGGTCCACCATCAATACGGACCACACCACCCTACACCTCCTGCAGCACGCCCACTTCTCATCTCAACGTCTTCTACTATGGGCTTGCTACCTGCAGAAATTCAACCTGGAGACACGCTATACCAAGAGTCTGACAACATCTTAGCCCATGATCTCTCCAGAGTTTATGAAGTAGAAGCGACTCCATCCATTACTCCACCACATAACGACGTACTTCTTCCAGAACCGCAGGCTTCGGGGGAGAGTTGTGACGATAATCTCCTTCAAGAGATTGAGCCTGCTCTTCCCTCCAAAATTACGTCTTCACAATTATATAAAAGACTATGGAAGAAATGTCCAACAACGACAACAACACCAGCACCAGCAAGGCTTGCCAGGGTGAGCAGAAACGTATGCATCCAGCCACCTGTTCGAACTCCAACCACCAAACTACCCGTTGATCGCTACGGCTCCGCTGATTGGTCGCCGGTCTGGCTGCACCTGCACTCGCCCCCAATACTACCTGATGTCTGGGGTCGCCCCAACATCAGTCCTCAGAATGTTCCGTGCTTTCGTAGCCAGCACTCCTCCCAGCTAGACGTTAGCGTGTACTGAGAGAGGTGGTGGCTTTAAGCCAATATTCCAGCACCTCCCACTTAACTTTTGTTTTGCACTTCTTATTATTTTGCCTTAACGTAACTTTCATTGTGTCATTTAAGTATTCTTATTATTTTGATTCATTGATTTTATCATAAGAATTTATTTGTCCATATTTTCATGTTTTGATTTATTTAACGTAATTAAAATTTCATTGTTAAAGTTTTACTTGTGTTTTGTGTGTCTTCTCCTTACCTTACCACAGACGAAGTTCCAGTTTTTCTATTTTTTTTTTATAACTATGTGACGAGGCCATACCCCTAGCCTTAAACAGCCGAACACCAACGCGTTACCGTCACAATATATATATATATATATATATATATATATATATATATATATATATATATATATATAGCCCGAGGCTATGGGTCCCCCTTCTTCCAGCTAGAGGTGGTACTCCCTGCCTATATATATATATATATATATATATATATATATATATATATATATATATATATATATATATATATATATATATCCATGTTATGCAAACCTAAGTGAGAATTTTTATTTATTTTGTATAAGAAACGTAAAAGTTTTTTGTCAGCTTCGCGTGTAGATGACCTCAGAAAGGGTATGATGGGTCGAACTCTCACAGAAAGAGGGACACATTGTTGTTACCTGCGGGATGAACCAGAAGTGAAAGGCAGCGGGTAACCCTTTGGACGGAGAGGAAGGGACAACAGGCAAGAATTTTGAGGGAAATATGCGTAGGGGCGTCACTGTGTGTGTGTGAGGGCCGGACAGGGGAGTGATTCAAGGGTATATAAAGGCAGGCGGGGTCTCCTGGTCCTCAGTGCGACAAGAGCCATCGTTTCCTTCACATTTTTCTCCTTAAAACGTAAGTCAAGTGACTGGTTAGTCCTGAAGCGTATCTGTGGTCTGTTGACAAACCTAGAAGTGATGATTTACACACTGAAAGTAGAAAAATGTACTGAAATAATGATTTCAAATCGCATGATTATTTTCAATTTGACCGCGTCTATGTTCTCCTGATGGTTGTTCAAGCACCTGTACTGACGGTGCTCGGTGATAGTCAATAGTTTCCTTTCATTAACTTAACAGAGACCAATGCTTATGTTAGAAAATGTGAAAACTTTATCTTTGTAAAACGAGATGCAGAATAAGTTAAATTTCCTATTAACGGAGAAAGGGAATCGTTCAATATTGGTGGTATTAATCTCTACTTAGCATCAGCGACAAGTGTCTTGTGCTGACCAGCAGTTGTAACGTTCTGTTTTATATTTGGCCAAGTGCTAACTACTCCGCAGTCATCAGTTTCCGTCGCGTCCGTACACTTTTCCAGCTTTAGCTGCAAGTGTTCTCAGAGCCAGTTGTAAACTGGTGCCGCACTTCAGAGTGCCTCGCTTATTTACCATAAGATTTGATTATATTTAAAATATTTTTTTTGCATATTTGTAATATTAATGTTATATAAAAACAATTTCAAATCAACAATCACAGAAATCACTATTTGACCTATTGAAATTGTGATTTCACTGTACGCAACCCGTCTGGCATTATATGGCACAGCAACTAATGGTGTAGCTCGTGTCATCTGGTGTGGCTAGTAACGAATTTTGTTGCTCCTGTCATCTTGTGTGGCACAATAAGTAATGCAGCTTATCATGTCACTATGTATAACACAGTAACTAATACTATATCTCTTGTCACTTTGTGTGGAACCGTATCAAATGCTGTAACTCTTGTCACCTTGTGTAATACAGTGGCTAATGCTGCAGCTCTTGTCACCTTGTGTGGCACAGTAACTAATGCTGCAGCTTCCACAGCTCAGGATGCGGGCTGTGATGCTGGTGGTGTGCGCAGTGCTGGTCCTGCTGCCGGAGAGTGAAGGCACCCTCGGCCTCGCCGCTCTTAAGGTAAGCTCCAACGTCTTGGTCCTGCTGAGAACTTGACCCAACATGAGCCCTCCTTACTGCTTCTTGTTCTCGGGATTACTGGGCATAGTGTGTTTAATATTACAAGTGTATTCACCTTGATATTACCCCCATTCAGGTTCTTAAGTACAAGGGGTTGGCCAAGCTGAAACAAAGCGTCTTGGGGTCGAAGAACTCCGAAGGTCTGCCTGGTCTAGGCTCTCCACTCCGAGACTTGGCTGATTCTGGCTACAACTACCGGCCCAGCTACGGCCCTTCCCATTACACCGGCGGCGGACCCTCTGCCTTCTACATCGTCCCGGCTAGCTCCTTCAGTGACCACTACAGGAGAGGCAAGCGTGACGCAAAGGTGGGTTACTGCGCACTTTGGGTCCGGTCGGCCTGATAACTTGGTAATCGTGTTAATATTACCTTCTTATATGTAAATCATCTCGGACCTTTACCTAACTTATCGAACGTTTACGAGAATATTGTTCATCTTTGGGTCTCGCCGTATCAGAGACACGGCTTATCTCTAAACAATATCATATGGTTCTTTAAGCATGAATGTCTTAGACCTGCAACACAGCACCAAATGTGTCCAGGTTGTGGTCTTACTAAAGCAAGCTTTCTTGGTATTACTTTCTTTACTTAAAATATGTACATTTAAACAAGTCAGATGTCCTGTGAACTCTGAACATGCAGCGACTTAAAAGAACAATGTAACAATGAGATTAAATTCGAAAGTAAATTTTGTAAATTAAGAGAAAAACAGAGCTTGTTACTAAGTATTCAATAAAATTCATTTACATGTGAAAAGCCATACCAAGACACATAATAACTCAAAACGAATGAGTTATTATAGTCAAGAAACTCGTATATAAATTTTGGATATTATTTACATATTTTCAATCGCCAATCAGTTCTTTCTTTCTAATGCACCCCCATACCGATCCCGTGGGCGGTGGTTGAAAGGGTTGCAGATGCATTAAAATGGGTTCAGGTTCAGGAAATGAACAGAATAGTTCGTTTAACTAAGCAAGTGACACTCTTTTGAAGCTAGTTTTACACAATTGTTAATGTTACATTCACATGTACATATATATATATATATCCATGTACACAAATACATATACATATCAATAATCTTTTTATAACACATGTGATTCAACAAGAGGCTCACAACAGTCACTGTACAAGGCAGTTTGCATCTTCGGGGAGTCATGCAGTTACTAATCTTGCTCGATACCCACCTAACTGGGTAGCAACTTTACAGTAAAATAAAGGCTGCACCTACAGCAATCAAATTTTGGATACTTCGCAAAGATTCCTGGCAGTACATAATTAGAAATGAAGTATTTTCACATTTCTTGGACTCCATTGAAGGTGTTATCTTTGAATTCCGCGATTTATTCACATTCTATTATATAATAACGCAAGTACGCGAATAGTTCTGCTGACAGAGTTTACATTTAGTCAACTCTACATCAGCAGACTTAGATTCAACAGAGCAGAAGAAGTTGTTAAACACATATGGCAAAATCTTACTAAAGCGACCATACGAGTAATAAATACTCATACTCCGCCCGAGTAAAACAGAAACAAGCAACACTTAGTGGGCCAGCCAGAGGCTTAGGGCCCGCGCAGGAATATCCATGCAAAAAAAAAAGCAGATGTTAAAAACTCCCAGAGGAACTTCAAGCCGAGCCTAAGCCTAGCAGTGATAACATCTAGAAGTCTGCTAACCTCAATCGCCACAAGTTCGAAATTAAATAAAATTAAGATCTCTTGTACAAAATTTCGTTTTTTATTTCATTTAGGCTTCAATGTGAATACATCCGTCCGTATGCAGACGAGGAGTCACAATAACGTGGCTGAAATATATTGACCAAACCACACACTAGAAAGTGAAAGGACGACGACGTTTCGGTCCATCCTGGACCATTCTCAAGTCGATTCTCACAATTGACCTGAGAATGGTCCAGGACGGACCGAAACGTCGTCGTCCCTTCACTTTCTAGTGTGTCGTTTGGTCAACATCTGTCCGTATATATGTGTGTGGAACAGTCCGGATAAATACATACAAGAGTCCAACGTCCAGGCGTCTCTCCAACAGAGTGTTGGGCCGGTCCCCGGCATCCTGGAGGTGGCGAGCGGGTCCCTCCTGCAGGAAGAGGAGGAGCAGTTCAGGGTGTTGAGAGAGGAGGACGCTGACGGCTGTGTTCTTCGGCTGGTGTGTGAGCTGGCCGCCGCCCCCGCCCACACCCTCACTCACGACGAGCAGCTCATAATGGCAGTGTTCAGGTAATTATGTAAATATGTAAGTTATGTACACACAAACACACCTGCCTATTTTTGTGTACGCACTGACTGTTCGCGTCCGTGGATGACTATCTGTAGCCTAGCGGGTCTGTTCACGTGTGAAGCATAGTTTAATGATAAGTGTTCACCAAAAACCTGTTTATTAATTATTGAAGCTTGAATTTTTGCCAAGATTATTAATAATTAAAATGTTACGTTTTTGCCTACATTATTAATTATTGAAGATTTAATTTTTGCCTGAATGATTAATTATTGGAGTATCATAGCAACGTTCATTGTTTTTCCACTTTATTTTATTATATTGGGTACTGAATTGATGAACTTGAATTAACAATCACAAAGAATTAAGTGCTGGTTAGTTATGGTATGGCTGATGTAGAGACTTCCTCGGGCACAAGAAGGTACTCGTATAAGTGCTGGAGCTCCGCCCTAACCTCTCTCCTCTACCACGTCCTCAGCTCCTCTACTGACGCCCCAGCCAACACGGACCTGAGCAACTCCAGAAGAGCATACGACGAGGCCGCCAGGCTGGGAAGGAGGTCCACCAACCCGAGCCAAAGCTGCGCCGCCGTGTACAGCACCTGTCCTGTCTCTGCCAAGCAGCTGATGAAGGTGTTCTCCACAGCGGAGCTGACCCAGCAGGCCCAGCTGCACCCTTAGGTCGCACTTAACTTCAAGATGACTCTCAAGTCCCAAACTTATTTGTCCAAGATCTTACATCTAGGGAACATGAAAAACTAAGAGTGGTTATTAAGAAATTTGCTAGGAGACTTTACTACTCAGGATAACCTAGCTATTATATAAAAAGTCCTGTATTTAAGTATTTCCACTAGTATATTATGTCACATTTAATTTAATATTTTAAGAAATTATTTTATTATTATTTTAACTAATCAATCAGCTGCTGGCAAGAATAGAGCGAGTTATCTTGAGAGCCGTAGACAACATTAACAATAGAAGTGAGTGAAGGGATCACATGGTACTGTAGAGTACATGTAGTCAGTGGCATGACTGTAGAGTGTATAGGCTGTCCACGTTGTAGCTACGAACATTTCAGCCCAGATCAATATTCTTTTAACTTTTGTTAACCGGGCTAAAGTAGTGCTTAATGATGGGACTCGATCAATACTTGTTAAGTTTAGTGACTAGTAGTGCCTAGTGTTATGACTGTAACAACACTAAGGAAGTATGGTAACTAGCTGTAGCTAGTGTTGATACAGTATATAACAATATTGGGAGCATGGTGACTAGTAGTGCCTAGTGTTAAACAGTGTGTGACTGCAGTGTGAAATTATGATGACTGAACATTTGGTCACGTAATTTTACATCACGTAATGATGTAAAATTGATGACGTCCCTAATGATAATCAGACTGGACTGTTGGTTAATTTGTAAGTCCTATATCAATTTAGACTAATTTGTGGATGAAATACCTCACTGAAATGTAGTTTACCTATTAAAAATAATTTCGTAAACTTTTTGTTTAACTTCACGTGTCATGTTGGATTAAAACAATGCTATGAGTAAATATGTTCCGATGCAGTTTATAACAGATAAAAGGAGTTGTCCAACTTTTAACTTGCGAGTGCGAAGAGTGAATATCATCATAATCAAGTTAAGTATGTTTATTGAGATAAGAAAGAAATACATCTCAAAGGGATAGAGTAGCTTACGCTATTTCTACCCCCTCCCCCCCATCATCAACCTTTCCGTTGTGACACATCCAAGTTATTTGTTCAGGAACAGTCCTTATCTCAGTGTTTCTATATACATTAATCAACGGACAATCAAGAACATAATGGGCAAGGGTGTGAGACCTTAACATACCACATAGTTTACACTTCGTGTCATTATCATGAGCACCTGTAAAAAAATTCCCAGTAATATTTGAACCCAAGCCTGAGCCGCATGTGCAGAGTCACTCCAAGCATTTCTCCTTTTACCATAAGTGAAATGGGTGTTTTGACTCACATAAATGGTGCGAAGAGTGAGTAGGACCCACCTCAGTGTTGACGACCACTTAATATTGGTACAATTGTGGGTCAGAGCCTAATGTGGTGGGCAAATACTCGTCCGTGGGTGGGCGGTGGTGGGCCTCGGGGTAAACACGAGTACCCTTGGGGGACTCTGGAGAAAGTCCCAACTGAGTCGTGCCCCTCTAATGCTTGTCCAAGATGGAGATCATTCCGCGTCTTGAAGTAGCTGCTATGATCTTAACCTGCCATCCTTAAATTAGGGTCACATAGCTTTACGTCTCGTGGGGTCAACACCCCATCAATGACCTCGTTACGTCCATACACCTTCATTTAGTGTCACGTCTATACAACAACACAGAGGATGACGTTGGTGTGTAATGCAGATTGTGAAGCAGGATTCGTCTTCTATTCCTAGAACAGAATGAATTCTATTTTAAGTTCATTTGTTGGTGTATTTGTCATGTGTGATCTTTGATATAAAGAGCGAGAGGGTCTCCAGCGTTGCTCGGGTGACGGGCTCCACATCTTCACTACTTTTCTAGCTTCGTCAATATAACTACTATCTTCTCTACTCACTATCTTCATCACTGTAACCATCTTCACTACATACTATCTTCATCACTGCAACAATTTTCACTACGCACAATCTTCATCACTGTAACCATCTTCACTACACATATTCTTCATCACTGTAATAAACTTCATTACACACTATCTTAATCATTATAACCATCTTCACTACTCACTATCTTCATCACTGTAACTATTTCCACATTACATTACCTTCATCACTGTAACTATCTTCACTACTCATGCAGGCGATGAGTCACAATAACGTGGCTGAAGTATGTTGACCAGACCACAAACTAGATTTTGAAGGGACGACGACGTTTCGGTCCGTCCTGGACCATTCTCAAGTCGATTATGATGAGGGATGTGATACAGGCAATAAATAGGCAAGAGAGAGGTAAGGGGCAAGGCAAAAGGCACGAACGGTAAGGTGTAGTAGAGGGGATAATAGTAGGAATAAGAACTGCAGAAGACCCAGTGACCCATACGAGGCAGCTCCTATTATAACCACCGAATGAGAAGGGGATAGTAATAGAAATAAGAAGAGGATAGCAAGGGAACGTAAGAGAAAACAATGAACAGAAAAAAAAGAGAAGAGAGAAAGAAAAGAAAAGAGAAAGAAAATGTTCTCAATTCCAACATTTCGGGCTTGATAAAGTTCTTGAAATCCTCTCTTTATATATTTGCGACGACCAGTACATGAACACAAGGGAACTGGAGTTGAAACTGTCATACTGATAGCATACCTGAATGTATTAAGAAGACCAAATAATGTGTAAACTATTGAGCCACTTCTACAGGCACAATCCATCCAGTTGGACAGGTCGGCAGAGCGATGTCCATGCTTCTCACAGGTCGGCGTTGTTCTCAATTGTCCAAGTGGTTGGACACTCTTCCGTCCTCATATACCACTTCCTATCCAGTCATATACTTTCCAACTAGTATATAGTTATTTAGATAGAGTTCCAGGCATTGCTTAGGTCGTCTCGGCACCCAGGTTACGCCCAAACACCCTCTCCCCCCCCCCGTCTTTCCACATCTCCCCCCCTGTCTCCATATACTACCCTCGCCCTCTCTCTTCCCTAAACCTCCCTATCTAACTCCCCGTCCCTCTTCAGACAACCCCCCCCCCCCCCCCCCATTTGATGCCTGGCACACCGTCCCTACCTATCTCTCCACTCCTCTCTCTTCAAATATCCCCCTTCTCTTTCTTTCTCTCCCTATCTCTGTCTTTCAGTGTCTGTGTGTTGTTGTCCGTCCGTCTCTGTTTGTCTTCCTGTCTAACCGTCCTCGTTTTTTAGTTTGTCTTCCTGTCTGTCCGTCTCCGTTTTTCAGTTTGTCTACCTGTACAGTTTGTCTTCCTGTCTCTCTTCTTGCCCTGGTCCACCAATAGTCTCTGAATGTGGACAATTTTTCCATCTCGCACACAGAGCTACTAATCACGCCAATAGATGGCGGTAAATCATAAAATTTTCTAATTGCAAACCAGATTAGGACAGGGTTCCGCACCCTGGAAGCCGGAATAATTTGTTATTTTACATTTTAATCCGGTATTTATCACTAAAAAAGGATTTAAATATAAACTGGTGGGTTAAATATAAATTTTAATGTCCACCAATAAATTAAATGGAATTAGTCTTGTAACACCAGAGGGGCGGCCAGTCAGTGGTAATGGACCTCCAGCCAAGGGGCGGTCTCCAGTTTACCTTACTGACTGCAGACTGGCGGTCTCCAGTCAGTGATAGTTTAGACCCGCCGAGGGGCAGTTAGAGTGATAGTTCAGACTCGCCACGAGTCACTATTTGTCCTTCAATAGTGTTTTGAGACACGTCAAAGGTCACTGGTCGAGAACTCGTCGTCGAACTAGCGGTCGAAGAACGCTCTTAGTGCGGACTCGACACAAGTCGTTATTGTTGTTGCCTTCGCCACGGGTCATACTACTCGCGTTTCCCAGACGTGTGACTGGATGGAGGGGGCTTCACCACGACGCCAACCTTTACTACGGTAAGTACCGAGTTGCAGTTCTGCATGACTTGGACCCTTCTCGTCTACGCCACCAGGACACCCACTCCAGGAACCCAGCTGGTGAGACTATTTATTTCCTTTATTTTAACTTGCCAATTATAAAATGATTGGAGTTAGGGAATTTCGAAATTTATCAAATCAGGAAGTCGTAGTTATCAAAAGTCTCCCACCCTCAAGATCGAATTATTGTTCCCCCTCCCCTCAGGATGCAATCCCACAACACAACCCGTCCTCTTAAAAATAACGTCACTTTTGGCTCGTATGCGCAATATGGCTAAATTTGGACGTAATTTGAAATGAAATCGACTCACAAAAGTGACGTTCTGTTCCGTTTTCTATTTGAGTCGTCCGGCGTATGCGCAGAGGTTATAAGAGGACACTTTAAATTAACGTTTTTCATAACGTTTTGAAACTTTATGAGAATTTCCTGCCCACCTAACCTATCAGAGGACCCTTAACTTACTGTTGTTGAAAAAAAAAATCCCAAATTTATTTTTTTTTTTTTCATTTTCAAATTACGTCCAAATTCGGCCATACGGGCAAACGGCCAAAAGTGACGTTCTTTTTAAGAGGACAGGTTGTGAACCGCTGACTAACTCTTGAATACCCACTTACCGCTAGGTGAACAGCGGTATTAGATGATAGAAAACGAGCCCAACCATTCTGCCCGGGATTTGAACTTGGAGTCCTCACTTGTGAGTCGAGAAGGACCCCGATTGTTCCCCTGTAGTACAGTTTATTACTGTTTATATTTTGAATTAGATAACCGTAGGACTGGTAGGAGCATCAATGTATTTGAAGGCCTCTTCACTTCAAGCTACGTACATTTTCAGTCGTTGACTACAAATTGACACTGTTGCCAGCCACTAAGATTCCTCCATTTGTTCCTTTGCTGGCCAATCACTTTCATCTCGGCAAAAGAGCTGCCAAAGTGCTCTAACTTTTTAGCAAGAGGAACCACATTGTTCAAAGAATGGTGACCATTAGAGAATAATTGTATTACCTTTGTACGATTGTTTGTCGCTTGTTTTGTATTTTTGTTTGATACTCTGTTTAATTTTTTAACTCATACTTAGTATAAATGAAGTTGATTCTCATCGTCTTGAATCCAGCGTCTCCTTGATGTGTTCTGGCCGCCTCCAGCCCGGGACTCCTGGATCTCCAACTCTTGAAAGCTGTTTTTGTTCTTAAGAGCTACAGGTGAAGTGTTTTGTGTGATCAGTGAGAGCACAGGTGTTATCAGTGAAAGCACAGGTGTTATCAGTGAGAGCACAGGTGTTATCAGTGAGAGCACAGGTGTTATCAGTGAGAGCACAGATGTTATCAGTGAGAGCACAGGTGTTATCAGTGAGAGCACAGGTGTTATCAGTGAGAGCACAGGTGTTATCAGTGAGAGCACAGGTGTTATCAGTGAGAGCACAGGTGTTATCAGTGAGAGCACAGGTGTTATCAGTGAGAGCACAGGTGTTATCAGTGAGAGCACAGGTGTTATCAGTGAGAGCACAGGTGTTATCAGTGAGAGCACAGGTGTTATCAGTAAGAGCACAGGTGTCCCCAGTGAGAGCACAGGTGTTATCAGTGAGAACACAGGTGTCACCAGTGAGAGCACAGGTGTCCCCAGTGAGAGCACAGGTGTCCCCAGTGAGGTCTCTGGCACACAGTTTGTGTTGCATATTGAGAATACATCGACTTCCTTCCTCTACTGAGCATGTGTATATATTATACCACCAGCGGTCGTCAAAGGTGCAGTGGTCAGAGTACCAATGCTGTTGATAGGGAGACCTCTGGCGACCTTGGTTCGAATCCTCTGAGGGGGTCATAGAGTTAAAATGACCTATGTGCTTGGGGACCAATATATATATAATATATATATATATATATATGTGTGTGTTTGTATATCGTACCTAGTAGCCAGAACTCACTATTTGGCCTACTATGCACGGTCCGATTTGCCTAATAAGCCAAGTTTTCCCTAATTTATATATTTTTTCGAACATTTTTCTTGTGAAATGATTAAGCTATCAATTTCATTATATATGAGTTAAGGCCTTTTAATTTGTGTTAAAACTTATGTAGATATATGACCGAACCTAACCAACCTTACCTAACCTAACCTATCTTAACCTAACCTAAACTAACATAACTAAGTCAATAATTTATGTACTTAAAATAATATAATAATTATATTTCATATAAACCAATTGGAAAAAATATTTTTAAAATAAACAAAATCACTCGGCCTATTAGCAAGTTGGACAGTTGGGGATTGAACGCCGACCTGCATGAATCGAGAGCGTCGCATTACCGTCAAGCCCAAGTGACTGGACGGTAGGGCTTGTATCCTTCTCTATTCACACACACGTGTGTAATCTTTCTCTTGAACTTCGCTTTTGTGTATATATCATTATTTTTTTTTTGTTATAGTGATTCTTACCATTATTATTTTTTGCTACATTAAGTCTTTTGATAACCAGACCTTAGCTTTGTGGTCTGCTTAAAGTCAAATCGCTGAAGTCAATGACAATCAGACATCTCAGCATTACTTATTGGCCTATCAGAGATTTTAGTTTTGATCACAGGGTTAGCTTCGCGTCACACACACAACTTGACTTATCAAACACTATGCAAACTTGACTGTTCAATTAGAGAGCTTATTGTCCGCTCGTTGAGCTTGACACTGCCTGTACCCATTCATTGAGCGGGTAATATTTATTCTGGCCAATCAGAGAGCATATTGACCACTCAGCTACTCATAGAGTGTAGTTTATTCTACTAAGAGAGAGTGCTGGGATTACTTGTCATTCTGAGCAGATTATTGAGAAGAACTCACCGTCTGCGGTGCGTTGTTTTGTAATGTTACTGAACTTAGCAATGTTACTGAACTTGGCAATGTTACTGAACTTGGCAATGTTACTGAACTTGGCAATGTTACTGAACTTGGCAATGTTACTGAACTTGGCAATGTTACAGAGCTTGGCAATGTTACAGAGCTTGGCAATGTTTCTGAACTTGGCAATGCTTCTGAACTTGGCAATGTTACTGAACTTAGCAATGTTATTGAACTTGGCAATGTTTCTGAACTTGGCAATGTTTCTGAACTTGGATATGTTTTTGAACTTGCCAATATTACTGAACTTGGCAATGTTATTGAACTTGACAATATTACAGGACAATCAAACTCATCATAACAGAAATATTTTATTAAAAATGAACCGCAAACAAACAGTTAAACACACACTTGTATAATCTTATTCACAACTAGAGCAACTTCACATTCTTGTAGACTGGTTAAGAGTTAGATAACCAACACTAATTATTAGTCCGTCATTAGAATTAGTGACACGTAGGGCAATGGGTGATGGAATGAGTGAGGTGGAAGAGGTAACTAATGTGTTGGGGGGCGGGGGGGACCTTTTCTTACAGTATGTACAACTACCCACGTATTGTAGGGACCCTGGATCAGGAGTCACGGGGTACTTGCGTGCCCATTTGCAAGATCTCTTCCTCTTACGTCTAACAAGGCGGCTTAGATGGTATTCACTAAACCGCTTACCAGCTCCGAATTACTACGAGGTCGTTTATACTATTAATACTATCTTGGGGTTACTATGATCATGTACAGCTTTGAAGCTCTTAAATAGTTTCGTAAATACTGACTGAGCCAACATGATATAGATACGAAGAATAGATCTCGTAAGTGGTCACGTCTTTTATGATTCCTGGCGCTGTCCTTAGAAAATGGGAAGTTAGGCGTCGTCTGGTTATCTGGGGGAACTAATCTATTATCTATACACACGCACACAGAATGAAGTGTTTGGGACCGTCCAGCATTACCCTTAAGTTCCGTGCTACTTGAGTGAGGACAAACATTGAACAGGAGTGATGAATACTGGTGGAGAGGCAATAGTTGAGTACTTATTATTATGATGACAGTTATGGCAACCTTGTCAGTAATGGGGTGCTGGTAGTGCAGTGAGAGAGTGTGCCCGAGGTGAGGAAGATATGATCATGCAATTTACCCTGTGAAGACCCTATGTATATGACCCAAATTAATCCTAGAGTTTGGGACAGGATGGCTTTTCTGTGGCCCATAGCGGCCTACCAGAGGCCCCTGACCCGGGGCCCAACGCCGCCGGCAGGTTGGGGCCCAATGGCTCGTGCACGCCTCGCCCGTAACGTCAGCCTCCTCCTTCAGAAACCTGAGAAATATTGAGGACGTCCTGGGGCTCCTGGCGGCGTAACGAGACGCAATAAATAGAGAAAAATAAATAAGAGTTACGAATTATACACACACACACACACACACACACACACACACACACACACACACACACACGAGGGGAGCAGCTGTTGCTGGGCATGGAGCAACACATTGACCACCCGGCGACTTGACTCGCTGTCTCGGGCTGAGCAGAATACCCAGGGGCACCGTTCATGCCCAAGGCTGCATACTGGAGTGACTCGAGGCGCCTGAATGCCCGACCACGACTCACCGTGGGCGCCGCGACTTGAGGTTACGGACGCGGGGCTGTGCCACAACTCTCTGGGCCGCCACACACAGGTAAAAGCTTTGTAGTGCAGCGCTCATTAGTCTGGCCTCACGTCGCTTCCCCCACGCTACTCTGTTGCAGGACTTTTGTAGATTGGATTGTCTAGAAGTGACCCTTTTTATGCAGGAAGGCAGGGTTGTCGTAAGAGGAGATTATTGATCGGGTGTCGCCGTTGCCACGGAAACGGAGACACAAGAAAGCCGACATGAGGCAGGAGACGATGAGTATTGCAAGTAGGACGATGAGTGTGGCGGCAAATCCTGGCGTCGACATGCAGATAAGACCCGACTGGTCTTCCACTTGTGGCGCCACAAGTGTCGCAGTTTCCGACTCTGTCGGCTCACTGTCAGTCCCGCCCTTCTTATCCAACACAAAAGTCAGGTCCCGCGTTGACACTACCTGGATGACGCGGTTCACCCCGATATCTTTTTGCTTATTGACCTCTGGCTCCTCAGCTTCACGCTTAGCTCGGCCAAGTCCAGGAGCTTCGTAGCCGCCGCCGGGACCCACCAGGCCGTCGTCACTGCATTGTGCTGGACACTGATACCTGCAGATCTGAATGGTACACTGGAAGTGAACTTCCATCGAGTCTGGGAATTTGAAAGCCTGGAAGTGAGCATAAGATAAGACAGATGCAGAAGAACCGAAGTTTTTGATCTTGGTGAACCTGGACATGAGTTTCGGGCGCGTAACGCAGCCTCTCTGGTCTACAAGCTGGATAGGAGCTCGTTTACCGTCGTGAGCCATGCAGTTACGAACTAGCATGTCAAATTTGTTATCGTCATCCTTTATAGCCAGCACCATGGTCATAGTCTGCCCAATTTTGACTAACCCAGAGACCTCGGAGGCCCAGGGACCCCTACCCACTTGGATTTGCATCCAGCACCCTACATTGTCTCCGGCGAAATCTGCTCGAACTACATCTAACATGTCAACAGGGAAAGGACGGAATGTAACGGACTTCTCGTACTGGTCGTGCCATGTGCAGCGAAGCTTGCGAGCTTGGTCCCACACCTCCTGCACCTGCGGGTCATATTGCAGCACTATAGTGTTCTCGAAGAAAGTTCCAGAGCCGCTTTGGCTGCCGTAGCCGTAAAGACCATTTTCGGTGTTTCCAATGGTGCCGCAAGCGTTGATGGACACGTCAAAGGTGGCTTGTGACCGGCCCAGACCCGCCGGTAGATGGACGCAGTTGACGTTGCTGTAGTGACCCTTGCTAAATATAATGCCGTAGAAGGGCTTGTCGAAGGCGATGCTCACCTTCATCAGGTTCTTCTCGCACTTGACGTCGATAGCTGTGATCTTGGGCATTTCAGGAACAGAAATGGGCCAGCCGTCTGAAGGCCCCAGGGCCTCCGGGGGCACGTATGAGTTAGCGGAACCAGAAACGTCGGCGTCAGGGGAACTGTGGCCGAGGACAGGGCCAAGAGCTGGGCCCGATGCTTGGGGAACGTTGTAGGTTGGCTGGAGTAGCGGAGGTGGGGCATAGTTGCCCTGAAGCAGTGGTGTTGCCTGAAGTAGTGCAGGAGCAGGTGCGGGCTCCACGTAAGTGACCTGGGGGAGGGGGATGGGAGCTTTGGCTATGACCGGGCCTGGGGCCGAGGCTTGTGCTGTGCCGGTGCCAGCGGAATATGCTGGGCCATCCTTAACAAGATCAGCAGGCTTAGGCGCACCGTAATTTTGGTCAGGAACTTGAGGAGGAGGGGCAGAGTAGTCTGGCTGGGGAGGAGGGGCAGAGTAGTCTGGCTGGGGAGGAGGGGCAGAGTAGTCTGGCTGGGGAGGAGGAGGGGCAGCGTAGTTTGACTGGGGAGGGGGTGGGGGGCCAGAGATGCTAGGGCTAGGTACAGGGGGAACAGAGTAGGTTGGCTGAGGTGGAGGGGGAGCGTAAATATTTTGTTGTGGAGGTGGTGGGAGTCTGGCCGGAAGTGGAGCGTAGCTATTTTGTGGAGGACCGTAGCTATTTTGTAGAAGGGGAGAAGCGTAGCTATTTTGTGGAGGTGGCGGAGGTTTGAAGAGGGGTCCTGACTGAAGCTTGGCTGCTGCGTAACCTGGAGGTGGCGGAGGAGGGCGGAAAGGACGAATGTGTTTTGGTTGCCCCTTTCCCCGGACGAGTGCGTGTCCGGAACCTTCCTTAGCATTGGCGCGCAAAGGCCGACGCGGGAAATCTGGAATAACGAGAGTGCCAGGCGATACCGGCACTGGAAGCGGGATGGGGATAGCGGCAGGATAGCGAGATCGTCGGTCTACGGACTCGACGGCTATCTGGTCCTCTGGGATGGAGGTGTCGTCGTCAGCACCGTCGTCAGCTTGGGGAACGCCGTAGCGGTCCTGGGCGACGGGGACCTCTGAAGGCGCTGGGTTGTCGTCAGAGGAAGCTTGCGTCTCCGCCTCCGTGACATTCTCCTCGCTGCCCGCCACCTGCAACATGAAGAACTTTCGTCAAAACTTGTCGGAAAAGAGTGTAAGGGCAGATGCGCACGGCGCCAGCAACACACTGTTGCTGGCGCGCTGTTCCTGCGCATGCCCTTTGTGCGTACATCATAACATAACATATTATACGCTATAACTCATAGTATTACATAAGATAGCAAGCACTCTCAAAATATAGCAATACATAACATAGAATGAACTCTCAAAACATAGCATATACACATAACAACCTAACTAAGCATACGCCCATAACATAACATAGCATAACTCAGCATACACCCATAATGTAACTCGAGCAATGTGTTACACGCTGTGACAGGAAGGTTATGTTACGTAGTAGAGAGCCAGCTCTACACCTGCATGTTACGTAGTAGAGAGCCAGCTCTACACCTGCATGTTACGTAGCAGGGAGCCAGCTCTACACCTGCATGTTACGTAGGAGGGTCCAGCTCTACACCTGCATGTTACGTAGCAGGGAGCCAGCTCTACACCTGCATGTTACGTGAGAAGCCACTCTACACCTGCATGAGAGTTTTAGAGACACGTGAGGGAAAGTGAGGGCCAGATACAGTGGAGGAAAGTGAGGGCCAGACACAGTGGAGGAAAGTGAGGGCCAGATACAGTGGAGGAAAGTGAGGGCCAGACACAGTGGACGAAAGTGAGGGCCTGATACAGTGGAGAAAAGTGAGGGCCAGATACAGTAGAGGAAAGTGCGGGCCAGACACAGTGGAGGAAAGTGAGGACCAGACACAGTGGAGGAAAGTGAGGGCCAGACACAGTGGAGGAAAGTGAGGGCCAGACACAGTGGAGGAAAGTGAGGGCCAGACACAGTGGAGGAAAGTGAGGGCCAGACACAGTGGAGGAAAGTGAGGACCAGACACAGTGGAGGAAAGTGAGGGCCAGACACAGTGGAGGAAAGTGAGGGGCCAAAGAGGCATATGTTATATGTCTTTCATATATATCATTTCTTTCCTTCGTGAGGCGAAGAAAAGCCTTTCTTTTCTTTCTTTCTTTCTTTCTTTCTTTCTTTCTTTCTTTCTTTCTTTCTTTCTTTCTTTCTTTCTTTCTTTCTTTCTTTCTTTCTTTCTTTCTTTCTTTCTTTCTTTCTTTCTTTCTTTCTTTCTTTCTTTTCACCTTTCTTTTCTTCGTGAGCCATAGAATTAGTTAGAAGCAAAGGAGGAATCCCGATCATATGTGGCATTCTTCCCAGAAAGGGAGTGGGAAATGAATGGATGTCGAGGGCACTTGGTGTCAATTGCCGGCTGGAAAGATATTGCAAAGAATCGATATAAATTCACTTGAACGTGTCCAGCGTAGGATGACTAAGTTAATTCCCCAAATTAGAAATCTTTTATATGAAGAAAGAATAACAAAGCTTAAGTTGCATTTACTGGAAAGGCGATGAGTTAGGGGTGACATGATGGAGGTTTACAAGTGGATGAATGGACATAACAAAGGGGATATTAATAGGGTATTAAAAGTATCAACACAAGACAGAACACGAAACAATGGGTATAAATTGGATAAGTTTAGATTTAGGAAAGACTTGGGTAAATACTGGTTCAGTAACAGGGTTGTTGATTTTTGGAACCAATTGCCGCGAACGTGGTGGAGGTGGGGTCCCTCGATTGTTTCAAGCGTGGGTTGGACATGTATATGAGTGGGATTGGGTGGTTATACCTGACCGTGGTCAGGTGGTCAGGTGACTTCACCTGACCGACCTCAGTCGGTCAGGTGAAGTCACAGTGAGAGGTTGTGTTAACCGGAGCTCCTGAGTGTTGTTATATTATCATAGCAATATGGAAGTTGTAGTGAAGGACCTGGTGACTCTAGTGGGAGCCCTGAGGACAGAGTTGGACTCTCTGCGGGAGGAGGTGCGTCAGCTTAAAAAACAACGAGAAGTAACGAAGGAGGAGACCAGCAGTAAAGGGACCTCGTCTTGGAGAGTTGCGAAAGACAGGGGCCTTAAGAAGACTTTGATAAAGCCGCCTTCAAACGCCATAGCAACTTCAAATTCTTTGACGTTTTGGAGGACGAGTGCTGTGGAGAGACTGTGGATCGCGCAAAAGGGAAAGCAACGAAGAGAAAGGAAGCGCAGGCCCCTCAGAAAGTAAAGGAAGTACCTAAGCAAACATTAGTTGTGGGAGATTCCCAGATAAGGTATTTGGATAGAACGTTTTGTGCTAGAGATAGGGGGAACAGGTTAAGGGTTTGCTATCCCGGAGCTGGCATTGGTGATATTATAAACAACATGAATGATATTATGGCTGGTAATGGGAACAATCCCATTATTTGCATTAGCGTGGGAGGAAATGATGTTGGTCGAGTCAGGAGTGAGGAACTGATTCAGAGGTATAAAACAGCCATAGAGTTAGTTAGGAGCAAGGGAGGAATCCCGATCATATGTGGCATTCTTCCAAGAAAGGGAGTGGGAAATGAATGGATATCGAGGGCACTTGGTGTCAATTGCCGGCTGGAAAGATATTGCAAATCAAATGCAATATCTTTCATAGACAACTGGGAACACTTCTATGGAAGAAATGAAATGTATGCTTGTGATGGAGTGCATCTATCGAGAGCTGGGGTTGTTGCTGTTGCGAACTCGCTAGAAGAAGTGGTTAGAGGTGTTTGTTTGGGTTTAAACTGTTAGTAGATAGAGGTATGGGAATTGATTTGGAGGAAGGAGGTAATAAAAGTATGTGTTTGTGGGAGAAAGGAATTGGCAAAACGATCAGGGAAAGAGAAGGTCCGCAAAATAACAATTCACTTAGGGTATATTACACTAACAGTAGAAGTCTAAGAAATAAAATTAACGAATTAAATGCTCTTGTCTGCACAGAAAAAATAGATATTATTGCACTTACCGAAACGTGGATGAATGTAGAAAATAGAGAACTATTAGCTGAATATCAAATATATGGATTTAAACTATTTCACACAGATAGATATATTAGACGAGGAGGTGGAGTAGCCATATATGTTAGGGACAATTTGAAATGTAGTCTCAAAGAGGGAATCAAAACAGAGCCACACACAGAAACTATTTGGATTGAATTAAACGAAAAAGCTAATAATATTATAATAGGAGTAATATATAGGCCACCAAATTTAGACAGAATGGAAGCAAAGCATCTATGGGATGAAATATCTAGAGCATCTAGATCTAACAGTATTTATGTCATGGGTGACTTTAATTTTAGCGGAATAAACTGGTTGAACAAAACAGGGAATAGTGAAGCAGAAGATTTTCTAGAATTAATTGACGATTGCTTTCTTACGCAACACATTAAGGAACCAACACGGGAAAATAATATTTTAGATTTAGTGTTAACTAACAGGGAAACGCAAATTAATGACATCGAAATAGGGAGTGAGCTAGGGAGCAGTGATCACAAAGAAATCAGATTTAGCATAGAATGGAATAGACCAGTAGGAGAAAATTCTGTTAAAGTGCCAGATTTTCGAAAAGCTGATTTTAATAGCCTAAGAAATTTTTTGGGTCAAATTGATTGGAAATGTTATATTATCATAGCAATATGGAAGTTGTAGTGAAGGACCTGGTGACTCTAGTGGGAGCCCTGAGGACAGAGTTGAACTCTCTGCGGGAGGAGGTGCGTCAGCTTAAAAAACAACGAGAAGTAACGAAGGAGGAGACCAGCAGTAAAGGGACCTCATCTTGGAGAGTTGCGAAAGACAGGGGCCTTAAGAAGACTTTGATAAAGCCGCCTTCAAACGCCATAGCAACTTCAAATTCATTTGACGTTTTGGAGGACGAGTGCTGTGGAGAGACTGTGGATCGCGCAAAAGGGAAAGCAACGAAGAGAAAGGAAGCGCAGGCCCCTCAGAAAGTAAAGGAAGTACCTAAGCAAACATTAGTTGTGGGAGATTCCCAGATAAGGTATTTGGATAGAACGTTTTGTGCTAGAGATAGGGGGAACAGGTTAAGGGTTTGCTATCCCGGAGCTGGCATTGGTGATATTATAAACAACATGAATGATATTATGGCTGGTAATGGGAACAATCCCATTATTTGCATTAGCGTGGGAGGAAATGATGTTGGTCGAGTCAGGAGTGAGGAACTGATTCAGAGGTATAAAACAGCCATAGAGTTAGTTAGGAGCAAGGGAGGAATCCCGATCATATGTGGCATTCTTCCAAGAAAGGGAGTGGGAAATGAATGGATATCGAGGGCACTTGGTGTCAATTGCCGGCTGGAAAGATATTGCAAATCAAATGCAATATCTTTCATAGACAACTGGGAACACTTCTATGGAAGAAATGAAATGTATGCTCGTGATGGGGTGCATCTATCGAGAGCTGGGGTTGTTGCTGTTGCGAACTCGCTAGAAGAAGTGGTTAGAGGTGTTTGTTTGGGTTTTAACTGTTAGTAGATAGAGGTATGGGAATTGATTTGGAGGAAGGAGGTAATAAAAGTATGTGTTTGTGGGAGAAAGGAATTGGCAAAACGATCAGGGAAAGTGAAGGTCCGCAAAATAACAATTCACTTAGGGTATATTACACTAACAGTAGAAGTCTAAGAAATAAAATTAACGAATTAAATGCTCTTGTCTGCACAGAAAAAATAGATATTATTGCACTTACCGAAACGTGGATGAATGTAGAAAATAGAGAACTATTAGCTGAATATCAAATATATGGATTTAAACTATTTCACACAGATAGATATATTAGACGAGGAGGTGGAGTAGCCATATATGTTAGGGACAATTTGAAATGTAGTCTCAAAGAGGGAATCAAAACAGAGCCACACACAGAAACTATTTGGATTGAATTAAACGAAAAAGCTAATAATATTATAATAGGAGTAATATATAGGCCACCAAATTTAGACAGAATGGAAGCAAAGCATCTATGGGATGAAATATCTAGAGCATCTAGATCTAACAGTATTTATGTCATGGGTGACTTTAATTTTAGCGGAATATACTGGTTGAACAAAACAGGGAATAGTGAAGCAGAAGATTTTC